CTTCTCGAACTGGGCTTCCAGTCCGCGAACCAAAGTGCGAGCCAAGGCCCGAGGATACAGTCCAGCAGGAGCTGTGATTCTCGAACCTCCAAGAACCGGCATGTGGGAATGGTCACGCATGCAACACACCCCATCCAGCATACTTGTAACGCACGAAGAAGAACTCACCACCTGGGTCGGCTTCTTATGCAGCTCTCCTGAGACACTCCGAAGGCCAAAACGGCACTGATCAAAGACAGCTTGAAAAACATTTTCCTCCTCCAAAAAAACCTCTTCATTTCGGGTTCACTCCAAGCCAAGGATGGCTTAGGGTTCTCGAGGATGCAGTGTCGTCCTTCGCTCATTTGAATGCGGGCGATCTCCAAGGCAAATTTCATCAGAATGCGGCCTGCATGAAGACGAGCAGGCCAGGAGCGGTGTCCCTTCTTGTTCAGGAACTGGAGTGGACTGAAGGGCCCACACGGAAACGCCAGTACCACACAAAAGGGTTTCTCCGTCTTCACTTTTTCAATGGCAGCTTCTCGATGACGACGAAGCTGGAAATTCCAACCATTGTCCAAGCTCATAGATGTCCCCACTTTGTGACCACGACGTTTTGCTTCCTGCATCACGTTTCTCGCACTCGTGTAAATCTCGGTCACAAGGGGCTGGTCATTCGAAGGCACTTTGTCGTTCATTAGGGTCTCATTGACCTTGAAGTTCAAGTCAATCGGTTGGACAAAGATCTCGTCGTCAAGAAAGCTCTTCATCTCCTCATAGTACTCAGTCTCAAGCAACTCTTTGATCTTCTTGGGAGCTTGGGACACACGACGGCGATCTTGTTCATGTTGATTCCAAGCCTGAACAATCAGCTGAGCTTGGCCCTTTTTGAGCTGTTGGTGGATCACATAGCGGTTCAGGGATCCAGAGCCGCTTCCATCTCTTCCTGAGTCAAGAGGTAGTAATCCTCCCCGTAGTGTGCGGCCAATTTGGCCTCCCAATCTTGTTCCAAGCTCATGTTCACCTCCTGGCGAAACTCTGGATCGGTCCGGTAAGCCTCCTCCATGCTCACGTCTCGGCCCTGACTTGGACCGTATCCCATGGGGTTCCTCATGTGCATCATGTCCTCGTCGGTCATCAAACTGGGCTCTGTCATCAGGCTTGTCAGGTCGACCGGCTGTTGAGGAATGCGACCGGCGCGAAGTTCTTGAAGCTCCAAAGCCATATTGTCCAGTGCGGACTGGAACTTGCCTTGCATCTCTTGCACCTGCGACCATGGAACTGTCGCCGGAGGAGGTCTGGAGGACGACCCGCTGCTTGTCGCTCCTTGCGGAACGAGAGACCTTTTCTCTGTCTTGCCTTGAGGTTTGGCCTTTGCCGCAGTCTTTGTCTCCTTGAGTAAGGCCACCATGGGTTTCACCTTCTCCTTGATCTGTTCGACATTGTCGGTGGGCTGAATCTCGACGTTCAGCAGTGCAGCCAACCTGATCAGATCCTTTCTCAAGGTAGGGAGTCCGCCGCGAGGCCCAATCAAGGCTCGAGCAAGTTCGTCTTGTTCTCCCCGATGTTCTGCCTCCTGAGCTTTCTGCTTTGCCTCGGCCAGAGCGGCCGACTTCACCCTTTGAGAGAGACCTTTGGCCGATTTGGCCAATTTGAAGCCCTGCAACACCGGATCCTCGCAAAAGGCTGTGTCCAATCCCATCCGGTTCCTCAGGTGAATGCAGTCGCCAAGGTTCTCGTAGGTGAAGCTGTTTTGAGCTTTGGCCGTATGCCGCTTTGAGACAATTCCTTCCATCACTTGCACACGGCACTGAGCTTCCCACTTGTCCAGCGTTGAGGTAGCTGGGTATGGCAAAGGCAGATAGCGCAAAGAGGATCTTGGCAATAGCCAGAGCAGGACGCCTTTGGCTGACCATTGAAACCTTTCTCGCATGCGGAGAATCATCCGCCGCCATCTCAGATCGATTTGGCTGAAGGCTTCGCTCACTGGCATGCTCCTTCGTCGTAGTGCTCGATCTTCGTGTAGGAGATGTTGTCCGTGTCACAACTCGTTCCGAGGAACGAGACATAGGCGCTTGAACCGAAGGAGCCAAAGAAGGGGAGCTTGACAAAACGGAGCAAACAAGATGACCCACTCTCATGCTATTCTCAGTCAAAAAATGATCATGACCATCATGCTCTGCCTTCAAAAACGAAGTTGAACCACGTTTCAGCCGTTTCTGCAACCACTGCGGAGTGCTCAACTGAAGTTCAATGACTCCATCCAAACCCAACCTTCTCCATCTCTGAGGTTCCAGACCTGCCCATTGACCAGGAAGGAGTCCAAGGCAGTAATGGCCTGCAGCCAGCTGGTTCAGATGAATGGGCTTGCCATCGAGCAACTCACAGTGCAGAACCTTTCGTGAAAAACTCATCACCGCCCCAACCGCTTCCAAAAAGTCCCGGCCCAAGAGGAGTCCAAGTGAAGGAACCTGAACCACCGATGTCCAAAAACACAAAGTGACCCCTCCAATCACCGTCGGAAGCCGCCAGCGCTGGGTGCTGATCTGGGTTCCACCGTTGCCAAAACGAAATGTCTCTTTCTCATCTTCAACCTTCACGAGGTCGATCACTTCTTTGGGGGCAGTTGCACGAAGTCGTTTCAAAAAGCTTGACAACCATTCCGGCCCGGTACATGTTCTATTGCAAGCACTGTCCAAAGCACCAACCAGCCTTTTGTCGGTCGAGAGCACGCTGAAGGCGTTGACCTCTTTGGGCTTGTGAGACATGTCCAAGGCCATCTCGAAACCTTCTGCAAGAGGCTTCGCGTCTCGAAAAGTCATCAAGACTTCATGACCATCATCCGAAGCTGGAGCACCATGTTCAGTGTTCAGCGCTTCGGTCACCTTGACTTGCTTCTGGGGAGACTTTGACTTCTTCCTCCCAAGCTGCTGACCTGGCTTTTGACATTCAGAATCTCCAGCCCAGTGTCCAGGAAGCCCGCAATCGAAACACGGGTGTTTGTCCGATTGCTTTTTCAAGTTCACCTTGCCTGCGTTGGAAGTGCTGGAAGGCGATGGCTTGCCATATCCACGATCACGTCGAACTTCTTGCAACTTGGACCTGGCCTCTTTCATGGTCAAAAAGGCCTCAGCAGCTGCTTCAACACTATCTTCAACTTCTTGAAGGGTCTCTTGGTCAAGACCGCTGGCTGCGGCCTCCTCCAACTCGGCCGCCAGCACCTCAGCCTCTGTTTGGAGGACTTCCTCCAGGGACTGACCTTCAGGTTCATCTTCTTCTTGCTCATGAGGGAGCTCGTCATTCTCATCATCCACCTCCGACACCATGGCCTGTTTGGCCGGAGCAGGACGACGGTACGAGGTAAACCGACTTGACGAGGTTGTCGACGAACCTGACCTGAAGGACCTAGGTGCAGAACTGGCCATAGAGGGGGCGTACGACGAAGGGCGGCTAGACGAGGGACCTTGCTGGTTGAGAAACTTCTGAAGCAAGGGAGCTCTTTCTCCATCTGACTTCCGGTGAAGCGGGTCAGCAACATGCAAGTCCTTGAAAAGCCTCAGAACTTCACGTTCTATTGTTGGGTAATCTTCAGCTCCACCAAGTGCCGTCTCAAGGAGTTGGGTGCGGATGGCATCCAAACCCAACTTATGCTTGAACCACCAGCCCAACTCGCCATCTGCTATGACCACACCTTCAGCTCGAAGTTCAGAAACCAAGGACCTGAACCGAGTGGCGAACTCCGAGATCCGTTCGCCGGATCGACGCTTGAGCTCCAGGTAAAAGACATTCCTCAATTCACCTCTCTTGTCTAGGGATGTCCTCCCGGTCATCGATTCGAGCGCAGCCAAAAGCTTGTTGATGCCACTGAGCGGGTCCTCAGGCGTCACCACCACATCGTCGCCGGTAGTGGGATCCGGCAACTTGACCTCTTTCTGGTACTCCAATTCGCTTGGATCAAATTCTTCTCCTCTCTGCTTCACCATGCCGCTTTGGCGAAGCAACCATCTTGCGGCCAAATTGTATTTCTTGGTCGACTGGATATCGAGCCCAGCCAACCACCATGACATCTCTCGACGAAACGTCCTCCATGTTTGAGGACTTCCGTCCCAGGTAGGGACGCGACTCCAAGCACCTCCATTCGCGTCCTTCTCATCCGACATGGTGCCTCAAAAGAAGACGCCTTCCTCAGGAAGGCGATGAAACAGGTGAAAGCTTCAGCAAAAAGTCAAATTCCTCTTCTCGAACTCCTTTTCCTCGAACCTATCGAACAAGGCGCGTGCCTTTCAAAAGGATCAAGGGGCCAAAGAACCCAGGAAGAACTTATTCGCCCTGTCCCCGACCGTCACCGAGTGAACCGCCTGGTGCACCCGGCACAAACTCAAGAACAAAGGCCTTGTCCGTGCAAAAGACCAACCAAGCCAAGCGAAGCGGAGAGCAGCGCAAAACGACAGGCCCCAACCAACCAGATAGCTCCGGTGCCACTGAAACAAAGCAGCGAGCAGTCGCTGCCGTCAGCCGTTTTCCACCGAGGCGGATGCGTAACCTAAGGCTTGAGGCGCCTAAATGCCATCGGGTAAACACGACGCTCTCTCAGTCCGGATCAATGCCGATCGAACAAGTTCGCTTCTTCAACCCCAAACAGGGCGGGGTATATTGAGCTCATTGGTCTTCCACCATCTTTAAGATGACCTATCCCAGGTCCCAGACACATGGGGCTGGCATATGCTCCATACATGGACTCCTGAAATCAACCACCCCTGGCCTAATCGGCCATAGGGCTGGCAGTCCCATGGGTCGTGTCTGGGAATGAATCAATGTGTTAACCCAACCGTGCAACAAAAACGAGAGCAACACTTATCACCTCCGCGCCCCCCTTATCACCTCCCCCCCCAAAAAAGGGTCAACTTCCCTATGTCTCTTACATGATGGATGTCTTCAGCCCAAAGGGTTGCATGGAGAATTCCGTTGAACATCGAAAATCTTCTGAACAAATGGTCAAACCAAACAGCTCCAGCTCTCTCCTTGTCCTCGCTGTCTGCGGTCACCTGGCAGACAGAGCGACCGCGGAAGGACCGGTTGTGTCTCGAGCGGTTGCGGTCTGAGCAACAAAGGGCTTTGAGTTAGGATGAGTATGGATGAGTTCTGAGGTTCTGAGGGGTATGGATTGAGAGACTGAGATGGTGGCTTAGGTATCCAATGTTGTTTGTTGTTTGTTTTTTTACATAAATGCCCCCGCCCATCTGTTCAAGACATCATGGGGGTTGCGCCGTCTTACTCAGAAAACGTGTTGGCAGTGGAATGGTTGTCAGCATCCCTCAGCTGCTTCTTGGACTCATCGTCAGGAAGCGCCGCATTCTTTCTCTTGGTCGAGCGGAGCGCTGACCCTTGGGACCCATTGCTGGTCCGCTTCGAAGGAGCATTCCGCCAGATTGTACGTCCAAGTATTCAGGCCTTCGGGCCATTGACAAGGATCGCACCCTCTCTGGCGATAGACGCAGGGGGGCGTCTAGGTAGACGCCCCCAGCGCCGCAGCGGTCTTTGCAGACTTCGCAGCCACCAATGTGGTTGTGAGGAGATCGCGGACATGCTGTGTACGAAACATATTATGTTGAATCCTTGTGTTGTGAAAGCTTTTGGCAAAGAGCGGCCTGTTGAGCAGAAAGGGTGGGCGGCCAAGCTTCGTGACATTTCAGCATGCTACTTCCACCACAGATTCCAAAGGCAAGGAAGGTGGGACTCGAGATTCTGCAAGGATGCCCACATGCTGAGCCATGTTCGTAGTCTCAACGCTGTCGGCATCATGCCAAGAGTGGGCAAACTAAAGCACATGAAAGAACCACAACCTAAGGCTATGCAAACTAAACCCTACAAAGTCCAGTCTGACCCAGGTCTTAACCTGGTCGACTTGACCTCCTTATGTATTGGTGTTGTATGACCATCTCCCGTAAAATGAGATCACACAGACTTGTAGGGAAAGCTTAGTTCAGAAACGTCGTAGAACGCTTCGTCGTAGGAAACGACGGTCTCCGGATGGGCCTCCGGCGTCTGACTGGAGGAGTAGGCGGAGGCCCATGGTGACGTGCAAAAGCGTAACTGTTGGTGGTAAAGGCAGTAGAGGAGCGTAATGTAGACTCTTGAGGACCATAACTCCCCCCAGGCAGAAGAGGATTTTCGACTTCAATTGGGAGGGTTTATGAATCAAGAGTCTACTTTAGGCCACAGGCACCGCCATGGAAATTGGGCTATGGCCTTTGCAGAACCTGACACTGGCCGTGCCCACGCCGTCAGTGACGCAAATCACTAGGCGTCCAAGACACGGCCACGGCCGTTGGGAAGCCCATGGCTTCATGCAAAGCCAATGCAGAGCAGATTGAAGAACATGGTTTGGCAGCACCAAGGCAGTCAGAAGTGTACATGCCGTTTCTTTGGGTACAGTGAGGCGTCGCCGTTGGCACCACGAAAAGCTACTTGGCCTACCACGTCGTGGCCCGCCTACCACGTCGTGGCCCAAAGACTGAGGAGTGGTTGTTTTGCACCACATCGCTCTCCGTCTGCGTGGCCCTTGTGGCGGGGGGTGGAGCGAAAGTGGCTTCCTCCTTGAAGTCCCAGCGCTGGACATCGATCGGTGACTCTTCTGTGAGCATCAAACTACTTATACACACGGCCGCTGAAGCCCGACAAGGCCAACATCGCCAACATTGCCTGTGCATCCTGATATCTTTGCAGGTCGGACTTTCAGCGTCACACCCTGGGACTTGCACCTTCACGTGCTCACACGGCAAATCTGACTGCCCTCCATCATCCAAAGGAGTGAAGCCTATGGGCCTTGTTCGCATTCTCCCTGGAAAATGGCGTTGGCTCTTCTCACCCGACTCACTTCCATCACTTCCTTGCACCGAAAATAATAACACACCAAAAACCTCCCGCCTCAACCGATTCGACCTGCCGAAGAACCACGCTCCATCTCGTCCTCGCAAAGAATGCCCCCCCTCCCTGCGGACCGATTCCGCCTCCTCAGCCTTCTGAGCAACCTCTGCGGCCACCTGCTGCCATGATCGGTGTGGCGGTACTTGGCGTTCAACACGTGATCCGTCAAGCGGAAGACCTGGATATTCCGACGATGCACCATTTCAGCCAAAGGCAAACCCAGACACTCGATGGGACTGCTATAGGACTGCCGATCAGTTGGGGTGGTTGACTGGGGGTCAATGGGGCGGCATATATGGCAGTCCCATGGAGTGTCTGGGAAACATTTTGCATAGTTGGAAGGTCCAGGTATAGATCATGTATGACTTATCTCTAAGGGTCCAGGACCATCCAGCCATCTGGGATGTCCGAACTGGCCCCCCCACAGGCAACGACCATTCTCTGGTTTCGTACAAACTCACCTCCAAGGCGCTGCGGCCGAGCGCGGGAAAGCAGAAGAGAGGGAGAGGACCATCCGCAGGAGGTACCTGGACCCTATGGTTATACAATTATACACTCAACAGACCAAAATAAACAGTCATGCGTCACTTTCACCCCAATCGAATTCCCAACACTCGAAGGAGGTGTTTTTCTCCTCCACAACTTCTGACAGCACCCCCAAGGATAAACCAACGCATCAAATCCCGAACAATGCATGTACTCAATGCATTCCCTCAAAAAGACATCCGCAGACCAACAGCCTTCCCAAGCATTGCCAGCGCATCCCCCCCTCAAAAAACACATCCGGAAAACCAGCAAAGGTTGAAGAACCCTATAGACTATCCTATAGGTACCCCTGTAGGTAGGGTCATAAGGTCACTTAACCTCTGTTGGAAGACCAGGCGTTTTTCGCTGCTTCCAGACGGTGGCAATCCTCAAAGACCGTCCACCAGGCGTTTCCGCCGCGGTCCTGCGCCGCGGCGGCGGTGTCGCTGGCCACGTCCTACGGAGGGCGGCGAGGGTCGGCAAGACCGCGGTGGTTTCAAGAGGATCCTCAAGCGATCTGTGGCCGGGGTGTGCATGCTGCATATTGTAAATACTATTTAGTGACCAGGTCGTGACCAATTCACTTAGATAGTGGTTCCCGAGTTCGTGTCCTCAACACAGCTTCAACCGACACTGGGTCACCACACATGACAAAGAAAGACAATCTTCATTTGACCACATCGGAACTCTTCACTAAACTTTTGAAATGTCAGTGGGTCAAAACCAGGATATTTCGGTTGACCTACCCAGAAGGTCAAGCTACGTGGTGTTGGGCTCCGGGTTTTGACCCATCCCCAAATGTCTCCTTATTTCCGTAGAGGTGTCAGTCCCAAAGAGTGCTTCTAGGCAGGTGCCTGGATTCTCTTCCTTCGAGGTGTATGTCGTGGTCACAAGCATCGGGATTGCAAGATGGGTGTTTGAGAGTGCTAACAGGTCAGTTTGTGTAACTTACCAAACATAAACTGCTGAGGCACACGCATGCCCACACTTGGCCCATGGTTGATGCCCACACCAAGCGCCCATGCCAGAAGGGACAATCTAACATACCCAGGGTTTTTAAGGGGAGTGCCCATCTACCATGACTTCAAGATCACTGCAACTCAACATGGGGAAACGTCTCCTTGCCCGTTCGGCTTCCTGGCCCATCATGAATTTAATTGGCTTCCAACCCGAATCAACTAAGGATTTTACATTACAAAAACCAGGTCCAAAGACTATAGTTTGACCGACTGATGTATATAAAGGATCTTCCTTTTCGGGTCACCTAAAGACCATTCTTTGTATAGTCTTTGACTCCCAGGGACTACAAAAACCAGGTTCTTCCTATTGTTTTTTTCCATGGTCTTTCCGGAAGTCGTGTGGGCGTCGTCCGGAAGTCTTGCCCTGGTCCCGAGACGCCACCTGGAGAAAACCTGAGTCACACAGAGGCCCGGTTTCATCGATATCCAAACCAAAGAGCATTGATGCACACAAAAATCCAAAGAAAAGCAGTATGAACAGCAGTCACAAGACGGCCTATAGTCGAAGTCGGGGTGTCCATGTCACATCCACGGCCCCTGGATGGGACGGTTTCAAAACCACCCAAGTCCATGTGACTCCTGGAGTATGAACATTCCAAGAACCAAAAACCAGCCATCACTCTGTCACACCTCTGCACCTCTGCGGCTGCGCAACACGGTAAACACTGCACAACTCCTGCACTGCGGCAGCGGCGTTGGTGGCGCTTTCCTGACCGCTGCGGGACTCCGGCCACCACCCGGTCGGCTCTGGAGATCGCCGAGCGTCGGCGCCGGTCACGTTCAACGAACGATCACCGGGATGGATGTGTGTGGTAGGAGCGATCATAGGACTGCTTAGACTCAGAGGTCGACGCTATCATAGGTCTGCGTCTTGGAGTTCAACGAAGAACGATGTTTCTTGCAAAGATCGCCAGGGCGTGCAACTGTCTTGTAGACCTATTTTGCCCTTTCCATGTTGTTCAACTCTATGCGCAAAAACACGTAGAGTCTGGATATCCATGCGCAAATGGGTACCCATCCTTCCACCACCCACTCCTGAGCAGTGGCACTGGCACTGGCCGCCATCTCCTCAACGTGCAATGGCATATGGGGACCATAGCAGCAAGGCCGCTTTGCTGCGGCCCCTCTCTCAAGGTAGAAAGAGTCGACCATGGTCCAAGTGTAAGCATGTCGGAACCAACGCTTTGAAGTTCAGTTCGAGAAACGAAGGCACGGTATAAAGGAACACACCAGGTCACCAGATCTGAGACAATGTGTTGGGGTGGCCCTTTCTTAGCTACCGTCTATCGTCCACTGGGCGCCAAAACGGCAGTTCGGAGCCTCCATCCCACAGCACTCGTTTCGCCACCCCTGGGCGCCCTTCGTTTTCGCTGTGAGTCGCACGAGTTGGATTCCACCCCAAACCACCCACCACGCCGCGGCACACTGGGACGCTGGGACGGACCCGATTGCATCGACTGCGAAGGTCGGTCTGAAGCACCAGCCCGGTCGGTGAAACGCCGCTTCGGCTTCGCGGGACCCGAGCGCGAACCGAGTCGCGATGCCAGGAGAGCCCCCGAACTCGGTTCGGGTTCGCGCGTCGCGCGTCCGATCGCTCTTGCCGGTCGGTGAAGACCGTTCTAACAGAGTGCGGTGTTCACAAGTGCTCGCATCAGTGACTGCTCTGCTCGGCGTAGGGGTGGCCAAACTCTGCGGACCTCATCCAAGATGGTGGTTTTAGGTCGTTAACTTTGCCAAGAACACCACTTGAGAGATGAGGGGGTGAACGAAAGGTAGCAGGCAATCATAAGTAACCCTGGTAGAAGTCCATGACGGCTCAAGCTACCTTTCGTGATATTTTAGAGTCTTAGACCTAACCACGGTTTTCTCTTAACCACTCTTAGCGTATAATAATGTCTGGCTTCTGCCCCTTATGACACGTGTAATTCAACCCAGGGGTGAAAAACAAAACAAAACAATAACAAGTAATAGTCTTAAAGAAGGATCCTTCCAACACAAAAGAGGAAGCAATAACATGCAATAACGAGATGAGAGTAACCCTGAACGTTTCAAGACTCTCGATGAATTCGTTCATGTCCGACGCTAACGCCAAGGGAGTCCAACACATATCCCATATAGACTCCATGGGACTGCTATAGGACTGCCTTCAAAACGGCCAGGGGTGGTGGTGCCAGGGGGGTTCCATGGGGCGGCAGTCCTATGAAATATGGCAGTCCGAACGAAAACAAAGTGACACATACCAGGACCCGACTCGTTCGGGGTGTCTAGCCCCTTAGCCCCTTAGCTGTGATTCGCGGTGGACCCCCCAACCTTTCCACCGAGGCTTCCTGGGTCCTCGCCCCCACCACTTCGACGGTCCGTGTGGTCGACCCGTATGGACCCGTCGTCCGTCGAGCGGTCGCAGTGGCACTAGCGGCCATGTCCTGAAGGCGTTGGCTTTGGGCCTCCGTTGAACCCCCACACGGGGGCCCCCTTTGAGCCGAAGAAGACCAATAGCTTAAGCTAGACCGAAGATTGTAGCCCAAGTACATCACTTCGGGCCATTTGAGCGGTTCCTCTCACCTCGATGGATTCCTATCGTCGTATCCTGGTGCGTGCGTAAACGCCTCTGCCTCACGCGACTCACATGGTAAAACGCATCAGCGGCACCAGCATCACCAGCAGACCAGCAGGAGCAGGAGCAGCAGCTGCGGCGTTCACAGATTTCGCACCACGGAGCTTCAGCGCTTCGACGGACCAGCTTGTCGCGCCGCCTGTCGACTTCGATGAGACGAACATGATGCTTCACCACCGAAGGAAAGCGAAGACTGGACCTTGGTTGACTGGATAGTAGATACAGTATGATACAGTATGATACAGTTTGCAGCAACTAGGGAAGGCATTTAAAAATTGAATGTGAGTCAATCCCCAGGTCAAGCCCTGTACACAACATCTCAAGTCAAGCGCCACCTGTAGAAATTTTAGCCGCCTTAGCCTATGCAAGCGTCCACCGGCGGCTTGCTTTGTGGATCTTTGTGTGCGGTTGTTGGCATTGGTTTGTTCGGGGTGTTGCTTCAGCTGCTTCGACCGCTTCGACCATAGGTGGACGACCATGTTGCAAAGCAAGGCGACACTTCAGCAGGACCAACCTGGAGACTTTCAAGGTCTCCAACTTCTCCCCCAGTTGATAGAGACAGTGATTCCCGCCTCCTGAAGTCTAAAAGCATCTAGAGCATCTAGAGACAGTCAAGAAAAGCACTCCGTTGAACCAGGAGGTTTGGGCAGAAGGGATAGTAACAAAGGGCATCGCTACTGGGAGCAAGAAGCTATGAATGTAGCTCCTGGCAATGCTAGGAACAAGAAGCTTAGGTTGAGGCCAGCGCCACTAGGAACAAGGACGCTACGGATGTCCTTTGCTCCCAATAGCGATGTCCTCTCCACGGATGCGGCGGTCCCACGCCATGTCTCCTGCGTGGTCTTGGCGGCCTGCTCCACCGTCTCCTGTGCTGTCACGGTCGCCTGGTTCACTGTCTCCTGGCGGAAACCGGGTGAGGATTGGTTGACATGACTTCAGTAAATAACTTCATTGGTTGACATGACTCCATTTGAACTGTAAAGATGGGGTCTATCCTAATACCTGTAAGAGTGGATGATGATGGTTCAGTTGCAGGCCTTGTCCAAAAATAATGATGTTCTTGTTTACGGTCCTGTTACAGGTAAGTTCGGACAAACCCAAGTATGGCATAGTATGTATGGCTGTGTTTTAAAATAGGAGGACCGAACCCCCGGACAAAGCCAAGCCCGTTTGGGCTCCGTTTTCGTACCTCCTCAGGTGTGACCCTCCTGGCACCCACCCCAGTCCCACCTTCGGAGGTACGAAAACGGAGCCCTAGGGAAGACTTCTTCGTGTTCTTGGCGTGTGTGTTTGGGACGGATCGTCGTCCTCCTTCCGTCCGGTTCCGAAGGTCCAGTCACCTCACATGTCAGCACCCCTTCTTCTCCCTCTGTAGCAGTGCCAGCATGGAAGATGGGAACCTCCCAGTTTCATTCCATGTCTTTTTCAAGATGTTTTTTTTTTTTTTTCTAGATGTAGAGATCCTATTCCCCTCCATACACATGAAGACTAGTGGGAGGCGCAAACATTGAGAACGGTGATTGACAAGGCATTGCAATTATGGAGAATAGTCATTTCAATTGCATAGATAGTGTTTTGAAAGCAACCCTTGAGAATAATATTCATCAGGCCGTTGAGAGCTAATGACCCACAAAACAAAACGCAATCAAAGAGTGAGCCGCAGAAAAGACACTTCTTGACTTCTTTCACCACGTCCTCAAGGTTTGCCTCCTGAAACACCACGTCAAGACCTCAAAGAACAACCTCATAAGACATCCTCAAGACGTGCCCCGTTGAGGGTGGTGTCCAAGAAGTTCTCTTGGAACGCCACCGCCTCTCCCCACCCTTCTTTCGGCGCCTGGGCCGCCTCCGAGGTGGGCAAGGAGTCCTGCACGGCGGTGGAGGCCTCGCTGATCTGTTGCTTGGCCTTCGCCTGGAAAAGAGTTGGAGTTGGTGGTGAGATGAAGAAGGTGAGCTGTGGAGGAAGAAAAGGGGGGAGAAAGCGTGACAGAACCTCCACAGAACCTCAGAAGAAGTCAAAAAGGGTGATCCAGGAGGTGGAGGAGGAACACCCATCTTCACCACTGGACTCTTGGGCTCATTCTCCACAGGAATTCGCCTTAGGCGGAATGAACTGGCTTCTCCTTTGTACACTTCCAGTAACGATCGCAGAACATGTTGGGCCCAACAAGGACTAACACTCGCTCACCTGCAAAGGACCCCAAACAGGTTTTTCTTTACGCTTCTTCAACGGGGCTCGTGAGGGTCTTGGATCTGATTTTTGTTCATCCTCTTTCCCAAGCAGAATGTCTACATTCAACCAGTTGCAGGTTACCTCATATATAACTCTTTACATCTACAATGTATGAACAAACACTCTGCGGCATTTGAAGAGAAAGACGGCTCACAAACTCCCTGTAGTCCTTGACTACAAATGCTTGGTGGAGCACGTGCTGGCACGTGCTGGAGCACGTCGGTCTCCATCGTTTTGCTGCAGCACGTGCTTGAGGAGAGTTTTCGTTGTTAACGCTGCACACAGCCGTATGGAACTAGTCAGCAGCCTGCATGCTAGTTCAATCAATCAGGTGCTAGGTGAAGTTGACCCATGAAGATCCGAGATTGCTTGAACGGCCCATCCTTCCAAGATCCTACACTAACCTGCCACCGTCTCGTTACGTGTCCGACCTACCTACCTAGCGCGAGGTCCACTCCCGTCTTGCACCCGCTGTGACCTACGTCCCTCACCTCAGTCTTGCTCTTGCCCTTGAAGGTGCTCCTCACAGAGCGGTTCCGCAGTGAGCACTCCGCCGGCTCCCCCAACAACCGCTCGCGTGGAGTGTGGATTGGACGTCTGTCTCCGAGCAGTGGGCATCCTCGACCGAGTGGGGTAGAAACACAGAAACGATCTTTCCCTTACGAGGAGTCACATGGAGTTGGGTGGTTTTTAGTCCCATGCAGGGGCCGTGGATGTTCTGGGCACCCCGACTTCCTCCAAGTTCAGCACCCCTTAGTGACTGCTGGTATAGGGCTTCAGTCGTACCGAAACGAAACGGTTCGGTCTGACTGGACCCTCCAAACCACCCAGTCCAGTCCCACCGAAACAAAGCGAAGCTACGACCGGAACCCTAGGCTTTCTCATTCCTGCTGCATGCATTTCTGTTTGCCCCATTTCGGTTGGGTCGAGGAGATGCCTCCTGCACTCGGATTCTGGAGGTCTAGGCCAAGGCCTCTCCTCGCGCTTGCTACGCCACGAACTCTGCACCGTCGCCATCCGTTCTCTCTGTGGATCGAAGCAAAAGACACACGGTGCGGGGCGTGGAGCCCTATGACATCGACGCCGCACTGGAGCTCAGTGGGGGAGCCGGTTCATCCCCAAGGTCGGAAAGAAGGATCTCTGAACCACAAAAGAAATATGGAGCACCTGGTTATGGTGTCAACCAAAACGAAACAACACGTGGTGTCAGCTCAGTGGGTGTCTGCTCATCCCAGGGTTGAAAATGAACATCTCTGAAACCAGCAGGCAGAATAGGGTGTCAGTATGTTTCAACTGCATTCTCACTCTCTTCCCCGTGGTGTAGATGGGGGCTGATAACATACAGTTGGACTTGACTAGAAGTTGATCCAGGATTTCCGAGTCGGTATACAAAGTATACTATTATAAACAGGAGGAGAAGATCTATCTGATAGATGGTAGACTTTTTCAGGTGAAACTATAATGAGTGACGTCCCCTCAAGCAGAAGATACCAGCCAACATCATCTCATATTAATATCATATTTGCACATATTTGCACTGGCACCAGCCTCTGGCTCAGCAAACATCCGAACACGTCCTCTCCTGAACTTGTGGCCCCAGCTCATCTTCTGCTCGGTTGCGCTGCTCATTGCGAAGAGAAACGAGTGATGCGAGAGGCGAACGGTGCGTGCGTAGCGCGTACCGCGTGCTGAGCTTGCTGAGAGCGCGGCGCGGCGATCGCCCACTGCTCGATGAAGAACGACAAACATGGAAGGAACCAAAGAGACACATGTGGAGACTGCCCACAGGTGGAGCTGCTTTTGGGTCCTCTCCGACACTGCTTTTTTGAAGGAACATTCAGAGTATTCAGAGTCCAGAGTAGAACCATGTATATAACCTTTGAGGACACACGTCCTCTACAAGGTCAGAACATCCGAAATGACCAGTAGTGTCTGCACAGGATGGCGCTGCCCAGGCCACACTCTTTCAGTTCTGAACGTCCACACTCTTTCTCTCAAAAGTCCCGTTTCGCACTTCGAATCCCGCTCCTTTCTAGGGAGCAAATCGTTTCGCCCAATATGTGACGCTCTGCCATGGTTCCAAAACCACGAAAACAACTCCCAAAACCCTTGAGGCATTTTCTCGGGAAAGTGTTGCACAAACTTGGGTATAATCGGTATATCCCACTCTTTGCAACAGTGGATGATGATGATGATGATGATTAGTAGTAGTAGTAGTAGTAGTAGTAGTAGTAGTAGTAGTAGTAGTAGTAGTAGTAGTAGTAGTAGTAGTAGTAGTAGTAGTAGTAGTAGTAGTTCGGTTGCAGGCCGACATCTCTAAAATAGTGACCGACTGTTTACACTGTTAACACCGACTGTTATATACTAGGACAACCCCCTCGGATGGAACAAACACACACACAAATGGAAGATATGCCCTATATATGGCAAATAAGCCACAATTACATGGAATGTCTGAAAAAAGAATCTTGAACTACTGGGACGCCCACTTGGCCTACTCTCCCAATCTCTCCAATCTTTCCCAGCCTCCTAGCCTCACAAACGTTTCATGAACCCTCCAGGTCTGCAGTGGCAGTTACAACCGTTAAAGCTGCTAGGCTAGTCCTAGGTCCTCAGGTGACCCAAAAGAGGACGTTGGGGTCGACCGTTTGAACATCAAGGCAACAGGACATCGTGCAGGTTCTTCCACATCTTAACCTCCTAGTTTCCTGTAATATCTCCGAACACCAACAACTCTTGCGTAACTGTTGCCCTGAGATTATCCAAACCATTCTGCCACAAACATGCAGACGTTGCGACGAACTCTCGCTCTCCGACCTCTCGAGTGTGGATGACAATACAAGATACGCATTGCGTCATGGGATGAGAGAGAGAGAGAGAAAAGAAACGCTAATCGCAACAGCTACAGTGGGCCATCAGAGTAGATGGCACAAACCATACCAGTACATGGGGGTCCATATAAAACACCTTTGGGGATTGTGCCATCTACTCTGAACCCACTGTAATGGTCTTATCTTTACCTAAAGTGGGCCATCAGAGGTTCGGTGGCACAATCCCCCAAGTTTGGATTATATGGAGCCCCCGTCTGTTCAAGACATCTTTGGGTATCTACACTCTACTCTGATGGCCCACTCTAAATGCATGGCATCTGGTACCAGAATGGCTTGGCTAACATCTTTGAACCTGAAATAGGGATGACGTGGCTAGCATCGTACAAGGCACAAACACAACTTGCAGGACAGCACGCCAAGCTCAAAAGGATATTAGAGCTATGGTCCACACAACCACGAAAACA